GTTTCTCACCATACTCCTTCTCAGCAGCTGCTCCGGCTTGCTTGCCGGCTTTACAACACTTGACAGCGTCATTATATTTCTTTCGTAATTCGATTATTATTTCCAATTGTTTGCGCGATTTACCGTCTGTGCCTGTTGTTAGATTAAACACTAGCATGAATAATATCAACATAGGGGAGATCATGGTATAGATGTTTTGGGAAAGTCAAGTATGGAAACTACGGTAATTCCGATGTTTTACACATAATTTTGTGAAGGTTAAGAAGTTGAAAAACTATTCAAGTATCCACCCACTCAACACCACCCCAAGCGCAAAGCGAACTCTCTCAATTTCTTTGATCGAATCATAAAATTCATGCTTATACTTATTACGAGTGGTAGCTTCCTCTTCTTCCAATGCGGTCATCTCAGCAATTCTTTCCTGGATCCAATTTACCAAATGTGCATGCGAGTACATCGTCTTTTCCGACCAATGTTGCCACTCTTGCTCTAGTGTGGTACGTGCAAGAGCTTCCAATTCTTCAAGCTGTTTATATTGCCAACTGATCGATGATTGGTTCATGTGGATTAGCGACTGGATCCATGTGCGCATTTCCCCAACTGTCCTCTCTAGTTCACCTATTCTTCCATACAATATATCATTTTCTCGACTCTGTTGGTCTAATTCATCACTCAGCGCGGCGATCTCTTGACCCTTCCGGCCTAGTTCATTCTCTAAACCATCAGTTTGGTGACTGTTCCTACCGAGTTCATCCTTCAATAAAGCAATTTCGTGATCCCTTTGGCCCAACTTATCTTCCAAATCATCGATTTTCTGACCCTTCCAGCCTAGTTGATCCATCAATGCACCGATCTGTTGATCCTTTTGTTCTAATTCATCCTTCAACGCACTAATCTCATAATCATGTACAATAGCGTGCACTGTTGAATAGTTTTGCACACATTTACATATTTGTTCCTCCAACTCTTTCGCGTATAATTCTCCCTTGGGTTTGAAATTATTCCACTTGGCTAGTGCAGCGTCATATGTTCGTTTTGCCTCATTCCAGCCTGTATAATCATTTTCTTGCTCCCATTTATTCAACGCCTCCACGGCTAAGTTCCGAGCAGTACAAAAAGCTTCACCATTAAATTCTTTTATACGATTCCAAAACGCTTCCACGTGCCTTTTGAGCTCATCTGCACAGTTGTCAGAACCTTCTGCTTTGAGCTGATGATACACCCAAGAAGCTTTGGTACTCAACTTGTACCATTTTATCCAATATGGAGAACTTTCAGTACAAACAAACTCTCTTGTGCGAGACAACTCTGCGCGATACTGAGCTTTTTGCGCCTTCTTGGAGGCGGCTCCGTGTTCATGTTTCATAAAGTCGGCGTAGCGCCCATACACCGCATATTCGGCACCACACCTTTGTTCTTTCTTTTCAAGAAAAGTTATTTCTGCCTTTTGTTTTTCTGCCCAAGCGAGATAATCCTCTTTGGTGCCTTTCTGTGTTCCTTCTGCTAAGGTTCGTTTCTCATCCCTTTCCTTCTTAGCAGCTGCCTCAGCCTTGTTGGTGACTTGGTAAATCTTGGCTGCAGCATCATACTTCTTTAGTAATTCTAAATCTTTAGCAGCGTGCGGATCTTGTTTGGCTTCTTCCTGCAACTCAACAACACTTTTACCAATGTGATGAGATAACAATTCCGATATCGGGGCAAAACTCTTGATGCAAGAGTTAATTGTTTCCTCCAATTCTTTCGCGTATTGTTCTCCTTTGGGTATGAATTCATTCCACTTGGCTAGTTCAGCGTCATACGTTCGCTTTGCCTTATTCCAGGCTGCACGATCATTTTCCTGCTCCCATTTATCCAACGCCTCCCCGGCTGCATTCCGAGCATTGCGAAAGGCTTCACTATTGGATTCTTTTTCTATACGATCACAAAACGCTTTCTTTGTCCTAAAAAGCTCATCTGCAATGTTGTCATAACCTTCTGCTTTGAGCTGATCCAACACCCAAGAAGCTTTGGTACTCAACTTGTTCCATTTTGTCCAATATGGAGAACCTTCAGTACAAACAAACTCCATTGTGCGAGCCAACTCTGCGCGATGCTGGGCTATTTGCGCCTTCTTGGAGTCAGCCCCGTGCTTGTGTTTCATGCAATCTCTGTAGCACAAACATCCCTCATACTCGGCAGCATATCTTTGTTCAATCTTTTCAAGAAGAGCGACTTGTGCCTTCCAGCACTCTGCATGACCCAGATAACGCTTTTTGGTGTTCACCTCTGCTTTCAATAATAAAGCAGATTTCTCATGCCATTCCTTCTTAGCAGCTGCCTCAGCCTGTTCAGCAACCTCACAACTCTCGACGGCGGCATAATATTGTGCCTGCAATTCTGATGGCGCAACCGTGATTAAATTTGATAATGATGTAAAACACGCCAACATGGACATTATTGTTATTAATATCAGTGAGGATCACTGAA